CAAGGCAGCCCGCACAGGCTGCTTTTCTCACCCTTAGGTTTGTAAAGTGCTGTCACCCCATAGTCTTCTAACATCCTTGGGTGCCAAGCGTTTCTGCAGTTAAGGAACTAGTGATGAGCTCTCAAAGCTGGAAGGGAAGACCCGGTGTAAGGAGAGGGACTTGTCTTCAGCTGATCCTCTTTGACCCTCAGGGCCAGAGCTCTTTGCCCTCGATCACCCTGTTCTCCTCTGGTTCCCAGGGACTCTGGTCTCCAGTAGGACAGAGAAATGAAACCGGAGCAGAAGGGAAGTACTAAGTGAGAATCCACTGTCAATCTCTATGGCCCCTGCAGGCCCTTGCCCAGGGTTATCCCTGGGTCAGCAGGTCCCAGGATCCAGGGGTTCGGCCCCATCCCATGTGCCCACAACAGCTGGTCCTGACCTCCTCTCATGGGCCCAGGGCGTGTGTGCGGAAATGGTGTACTGTCAGGGATGCAGTGCCCAGTTCCGCAGATTGTACACTGCACAACGATGGTCGGCTCAGGGAGCACTGAGTGAGGGCTAAAATCCAGCCCATGATTCTTACCAGGCTGTGCCATTTATGAAGTTGCAATTGCCCAAAGGGGGCATTTTTTTCTTCTAATTCCCACAAAAGTGCCTTCTAAGCTACTGTGTAGTCCTCTTTACCATGATCTCAAAGATCCCTCCCTCCTAGAGTGTTTTCCCAGACTCAGTCCTGTCTCTCGTTCCATAAGAAGTGGCACTGGAAATGTCACAGCTGGTTCTTCCTTTTACTTTCTCTTCTTCCTTCAGGAACCCACTTCAGCCTGCCTGTGTGGCTGTCCACCCTATTGCCGAGTCTTTAATGGCCAAAGCACTGGGGCAGAGGGAGCTTGGTCAATGAGCAGAGCCCCTGGTAACACATGCAGGATTAAAATGCAAATTCATATCTGCCACACACTCAACTCTGAGATGAAATAGTTATATTTCCTTCCTCAGAGCGAAGGAAAAGGTGGATAAGTAAACAGATGGAAAACTGGGTAAGATTTTCACCCTAGGAACTCAACGGGAAGGACTATGGTGAAATTAGGTATTAGACAGTCACTGAATTAACCAAGATCCCAAACACAGAGAGTTATTTATTAGCTTCTAATAGTCCTGCCAGTGGCGGATGTACCGTCTATTTCCTGAGATACACATGGAGTCGTTACTTTATGGTGGAAGAGGTGTGGGTGATTTCCAACTTACATTCCAAAAATCTACATGAAGTGTGTTTTAACTAGGAAATGAGATGAAGCATTTCCCAGGCACATTAATGGAAAACTCTCAGAAACAGTACTGCTTGGAAGAAAACACAGGTAACCTTTGGTTATATCTGCAAGACCCAAAGTAGAACTGATTGCCTTATCATGAGATGGTGAAGGGCACACACAGGCTATTCTGCCCAGTCGTATAGCTACGAGTTACACGTGGTTATTGAGCATTTGAAATGTGGCTAGTCCAACTTAAGGTATGCTTTCGTCAAAAGACACATTGGATTTGGAAGTCTTTGTGTAAAAAATTGTAAAATATTGTCTTCATGTAAAAATATTGATAACTTGTCGAGTGATAATATTTTGCATATATTGTGTTAAATCAAACATATCATTAACATTGAACGCACCCATTTCTTTTTACTTGTAAAACCATGGGTGCTAGAAAGGTTGAAATTGCATATGGGGCTTTCATTTTACTTCTATGGGACCGTTCTGTGCTAGAAGATGGGAGAAAACAATAGTCTTATTGACCATTAGTCCCTCTGAAGCCCATCTAGAATAGACCCTCAGGAATCCACCTCTGCACCAAATCCCCGGATATCATATCATATATCATATCATATCATATCATATCATATCATATCATATCATATATCTTATCTTATCTTATCTTATCTTATCTTATCTTATCTTATCTTATCTGGTGTTTGGAAGAGGGGGTGAGGGTCATCGGGAGAGAATCTCAAGCAGGCTCCATGCTCAGCATGGGATCCAACACGGGGCTCCATGCCAGGACCCTGGGATCATGACCTGAGCTGAAACAGAGACAGATGCTCAACCAACTGAGCCACCCAGGGGGCTTTCCTCAGGGTCTTTTCTAACCTCAGCAACCCTGCCACCTTCCATCCGCCTGTCATTCTGGCCGATGACACTCATTCAAGGTTCCGAAGACCATGTTGATCATGGGTTTTACTCTTTCCTGAAAGGGCACCAGCAGATCCACAGTCTCTCGGAGGAGAATTGACTTAGATATTTCAGAGTCTTCAGGTAGTTTCCTCTACAAGACAAACAAACCTTTCTCTTGCTAATTTCGATGGCTTTCCGTGGCCAAAGTTAGATGAGTTCTTACACTAATAGGCGTTCTGCCTCTTGACTTGATCTACCAAAGACCCTGCCCTACTACGCACTGAATGCTTTTCAATATTGTGTTGCGTGTTTCTGCGCCCCCCGAATATACTGAGGAAAGTAAGGCTATCATGGCATTCATTTTACCGCTGAGATCTGAAAAAGATCAAGGGCTTTGCACAAAGACTCAGCAAGGGTTCGTGATCTCCTAGACCACAAGCCCTAGTTCTCTTCCAGCCCTGGGTCTCTAGAGCAAGGGAAGAAAGCGGCAGAAAACGCACGGACCCCTGACACACACGCTCTAGCCAGTCTCTCTTTTTGCCAGTCCAACCTCCAACAGCGCTGCCGGGGGGAGTCCCTTGAAAATGCAGGCTTGGCTGTGTTCGTTCCCTACAAGACACACAAACACACGGAAGGAAAGAAGCGAAAGAAGCAGCTCTCCAGAGGGCCACAGAGTCCCCACCACGCCCTTCGCCTGCCTCCTGGGCCTCAAAATGGCGTCCTGGCCTCACTTCTCCCTTCCCCTCCCTGCAGCCCCGGCACCGGCACAAATGCCTCAGCTCCCTGGGGCTTGTGTTCTCGGTTCCTCCGCTCTGGCTTTGGGCATTACTCGCACATCCGCCAGCCTGCTCGGCGCCTGGCGGGCCCTTCAGAACGAGAGCAAATGTCAGCTCTGCCGAAGCTTCCTGCAGGCTTCCCAGGCCGAATCGGGCTCTTCCTTCCCTGGGTTCCCGCAATCCTCTGCGCTCCCGTTGTGTACTGTGCTATTGTCATATTAGCACCAACTCTGGCGTCTGTCCCTCCCTTTAGACCGTAAACTTCTTGAGGGCAGGGACCCTCCATCTCTGTCTCCGTGTGTTGTAAAAACCCAGTGGACAGTCCCGCTCGTCCCCATCTGCGTGTTGGCGTCGCCCAGGCCCATCTGCTGACCCGGCTTTCTTTCCCAATTTCTAGACCTCGTCTTTAACACATAGTTTCCATTTGATGTCCCACAAGGACTTTAAACTCGCCGTGACCCCACCTGACCTCATCATGCTCCTCTCCCAGGGTCCCCTACTCTGCGTTTGGCACCATTTTCTGCCCCTTTGCTCAAGCCAGAAAATGGCAGGCATCCTTGATTCTATCTCTTCTCTTCCCAGCGTCTCTCCCGCATGCCCCAGACCTTCCTGTTACGCCAGCTTCCCAAATATCGACGAAGTCGAGGCACTTCTCTCCATTCCTGCTGCTTCCATTCACTCAGGCATCATCTTCTCTCATCTCTGAATTACAGAAATCACGTTTCTTGGTGTCTCCCCACCTTCAGATTGGCCCCCAGTGTCTAGAACAGTGCGTGGCATGCAGCAAGCACTCCGTAATTGCAGATGGAATGAACAAATGACTGTCCATGTTAGGAGGAGCCTCATCTCTTTAGACACATGTCTTCCAAAGACTCAAGAAATGACTTGAGGGCTGCTTCTCTTTGAACCTGAGACTGAATTACCTTTTTTTTTTTTTTTGATAACTTTCTTAACACGTGCAGCACCAACAGTTTTGAACACATTTGCGTATCAGTTATGTCAGTTGAGCCTCACACTCCCCTATGAGAGAAACACCATCGGGAACCCCTTTTTGGAAACAGCCATCCTTAGCACAGAGTTAGAGAGGCTAAGCGATTTTCCTAGGGTTACGGAGGCGGTGGGGAGCAGAGGCAGGGCTCAGGCAGAGTGATGCCGACTCCCAAGCCTGGCCCCGCGTAGCTGCACGCACCTCATGCTCAGTGGGACGCGTGCTCCTCAGAGAGCAGCCCTGGGAGGGGGTACTGGAGGCCGGGTGAACACCTCCGCCCCTCCCTCTGCTGGCCAGAGGTCTGACCCTTCATCCGCACAGCCTGGGGAGCCTGGCGAAGGGGTCAGTGCAGGGGAGCCTGGGTCCTGTGGGCTTGGGGCTCTTCCTTGCCTCACTCTGTCAACAACGATGGCCAGTCATACTTCTGACTTACAGAACCTTGAGATAACACACTCGTGTTCTTTTCTAGGCTGCAAAATTTGTAGTGATTTGTTAAAGCAGCAACTGAAACTAATAGACCAAGATTTCTCCTAAAATATGCACACTCATTACATGTTCTCATGGCCATTTGCACCTGGAATGTCATGGGTTGTGCTCTTAAATGGGTAGACTTCACACCCACGTACTGATACACAGATTTACGATGTTGGTTGGCTGTCTCTGGTCACTGGTCACTCCTTTGGTCCCTTCACTGGCCTGTCTGGCTGCCCTGACGCAGCCCTTTGTTCCCTCTGCTTAACCCCTACCGGGATTTTATCCGTGAATGAGTACTGATGGCCCCAGAGACATGGAGGCTGTAGAGGAAATGGGAAACCACGTGTGGGGAACGAGCCCGTCCCCCGTGGTTGGGAGGGCCACCATGGGATGGATGGGCAGCTTCCATCAGGGCACTGGACCCCCGCCCCCCCACATTAGGTTCTCTGGAGTTGAGGTATGTGGATGACAAGAGTGAAATAGAATTTGGAGTTCTGAGGGCCTTGGAGCTAAGAAGCAAAGACTTCAGCCTAGTGGGGAACGGCTGAAGGCTTCCAGAAGGCTCTGACGCCGGGGCCCACAGTCAGGGCACCGTGTATGTTCACCAAGTATTGGTTTGCAGCTACGAGTGTGTAACTCAGGCATTTGTACGTCATCTTTGTGCAGGGGCCATGCCAATCTTCTCTGCATCATCCTGATTTTAGCATATGTGCTGCCGAAGCCAGCGCCGAATGTGAAGCTCCGGTACCAGCAGTCAAGTTTCCCATGCAGCCCGATGCAGCCATGTCGCCGCTGTCTGTACCCAACCTCTGAAGATGTTTGTCTCCTCTGCTAAAGGTTTGAAACCACGGAGGGGTCATTTCATGCAATTCTTGGAATTCCACTTAAAAATTCCCTTGAACATTTCAATTCTCCCAGGTCCCGCTTCCTGACTGTCGCCTGGAAAGCAGTTCTGTCCCCGTGCACATGAATAGAACCCGCCCTTTGAGGCTCCTCTGTCAAATTTTATCACATAAGTGTATGCAGAGGCTATATTTATAACTTCACTCTTTCTCTCAGGTTTATGGAAAGACTCTTGGTGGAACAAATATAGTGCAGGATCTGAACGTGCTCTGGCGAAAACACTCACTCCAACGTGTGGCACACGATCAAGCCCAGGATGTAAAGCACAATACATTCTTCAGCTGCAGGACCGAAATACCTCACTATCGAGCTTCTCGTCACATGTCACGGGCGGGGTGTTACTCTGTGTCCCCAGGTTTTTGTCTGAACCGTTTTTCTGCCAACTCAGGGGCAAGCCCTAGGCCCCTCGATGCCTGTGAGCCTGTTGTCTCTTCTCCATGCCCTTGTGTGACCAAGCCCTCCTGACTATGGGGAAGAAACAGCCACCGCCTGTGCAGAGAAACTCACCAAGATGCATCTTCTAAATTAAACTATACTGGAGAGTCTTTTGACGGCAGGGATGCCCGGTGGGGAAAAGGATGTCCAGAGACTTCGGGGAAATTCCACCAGGTTTATTCAACCTAACGGATCTAGTTTCCTTCTTTTGTGGTGACTTGAGAGGGGCCTTCCTATGTGACCTTCTGTGACAAGCGTGTCCCTGTCCTTGAATCCTTCCGAGTCAATACTGATGTTGCCTGCAGCCCTTCTCTCTGGACCTTCCCCTTGTCTTTTTAACTCTTTTCTCATCTACCAGAAGACCCACATCCATATTGAAGTCTCTTTCCCCTTTCCCCTCTGGGTGTCTGTTGAAGCATGCATGCCCTTCTACTGATTAGGGGATGTTGGTTTTGATCTTCCTTCTAACTCGAACTCATCCAAGCAAATGCTCTGTGTTCTCCTTCTGTAATATTTTTGTCAACGTGCAGCTGCCCACTCGTGTTGTAGCCTCCAGGATTCTTCACCTCTCAGAGCCTTCCTGGTGTCACTGCTCTGTGAGTCAGGAGACTTTTCCATCCCAGTGTCTGGTCCTCTGATGATCTGGGCGGAATGAAGGGTGATAGAAATTGTACTCTGAGCCACATGGCTTGCTGTGCTCTTTCCCTCTCTGTCCTCAACTCCAGATGGCGGGTTGTGTCAAGGGGACACAAAGTTTTCCCCAAGACGCCTCACTTGGTGGTGCTCTTCCCCTTCCCTGACCCTCAGCTTCTTCATTGGTGCTTACTTTATCAGCACCCTGAGAATGGATTCCTCTCTCAGGCAGGTTTCACATTAATAAAGCTCATGAATGGGACCAAAGTTGAAAATGAATAGGCCAGATTAATAGTTTACGAGAACCATCACAAGAAGTAGAATAGTTCACGTCCGGCTCAGAAGCATGCTATTCCCTGGAGCAGAGGTACCTCAAAGCTAAACCATCACCAGAGTCCGAAATCTGATCTGCAGTGAGAAATCTCTACCATGGAGAGAAAATTCTGAAACCCAAGGGAGCCTATAAACTCCTCGTGGGCGGTCTTGTGCAGGGAGACAAGTCATTCTACGGTTGACTGTTAAAGGTAGAAGGAGAGCAAGGGGAGTTGAAGAAAAGAAATGTTCAATGCCATGAGGGCATCCGAGCACGACGCTTTCTTCCTACGGTTCAGATAGTCTCATAGTGACCATCTGATAACTCAGCCTGTTAGCTGCGATTCATCAGGTCTACCTCCATCATTAGAGTAAAGATGTCTTCCCACCTGACCCTAATGTTCTAGGTCTACTGCGTGTGAGCCTCTCTGTGCTGGACAGCAGTGGCTTCTCACCATCCTTGTTTGCCTGGCTTCTCTTGTTTTTGCATGGCTGAGGCAGGCCCTCTTCCAGTGGAGATGCCTCCTTTAGATGCCAATACATTCTATCCGATTAGAGTGAGGACCTGCCAAACAGAGGTCCGTGCTGACTCTATCCAGTAAGTCTTTTCCATTTCATTACCCGCTGAATTTACAGTCTGGCTCTTGAGGGAAAATTTTTATTTCTCTCATTCCTGGGTTCTCACACCATGAACCCCAAACTTATTTTTGTACTCCAAGATGTACATATGTATTTAAATTTTGCTAAAATCCAACTTAGTTAACGTATAGTGTAATAATGTTTTCAGGAGTAGAACTCCATGATTCGTCACTTACAGATTAATACCCAGGGCTGATCCCAACAAGTGCCCTTCTTAATGCCCACCACCCATTTAGACCCTCCCCCCACCCAACACCCGTCCAGCAACCCTCAGTCTCTTCTCTGTATATAAAAGTCTCTTATGGTTTGTCCCTCTCTATGTTTTTATCTTATTTTTCCTTCCCTTCCCCTGTGTGAACCCCAAACTTCTTAGAAAGCCACCAGTCTCAGAGGCCCCTCTCTACCACTTCCTGCCCTGGTGCCTTCTAGAAGTTCTAGGCCCCATGTGGGTGTACAAGACTTCCATGAGATAAAGACACAGGAATAACGCTTTGGCCACCAGAAGGGATAGCCCCCAGCTGGCAGACCGACAGCTACTGTGATGTCTGATAGCTACAGAAGACACCCATGGGGGAGGGGGAAGGAAGTTTTACTTTCTTTCAAACAACAACAATTAAAACCAACCACCAAGGCTGCTACATGGGATAAAGCAGGGGCCTCCTAGTGACATTTGTTTGGCTATATCCTGCCTTATTGTAGTGAAAACTTCTGCTAGATTCTGCCAACTGCCTACCCATCAAATTCTGGTTTCCATACAGTTGCGCGTTTCCAAATTTTGGTAGGTATTTCTAGGTCGGGGAAGTGTTTGTAACTTGATTTAACCATAAGTAGAATTCCCGGCTCTGCAACGTATTTTGAAGTTTGTAGCTCCAAAGTCCAAACCTAAAACTTTATAAACATCAAGGATAAATCAAAGACATTGTTACTGTTCTGGGTTTCTCTCTCACTTCACCTAGGAATTTGGGTGAGCTAAGCTTTGAACACAGAGCTCTGATGGCTTTAGATTCAGCTAAAACAGGTGAAGGTAACTCTACACGGGGAGATATCAGAAACGTTGGCATTCGTGTTGGCATTCTCTAAGAGTCCGTTGACTACAACATCAACTTTTTTAAATTTCAGAAATAGGTCAGTTCAAAAGGACTTTAAAACTTTCAAGACTCAGTGTCTGCCATGGGGAATGAAGACTAAAAATACTAAAAGTAAATATTTTGAGACAGTGTTCTTCATGGGGAAATGGAATCATTTTCAAAGGAATTTAACTGTGCTCTTGGCCTTCTGTTTAGGTTCTTTTATTGACGGTGATGTGCTGGAAACAGGATGAGCTTGGAGCTGGTCAAAACAAGTAGGGGATCCAACCATGGGAGCTTAGACAAACTGGTTTTACTTCTCTTTGAATTTTGCTTTGCTCCACATGAAAAATGTGGGGGATGGTATTAAGAGTCAAGGCATGATGTGCAAAAATGATCCATAAAGGTTAATTTCCTCCCTTTGCAACATCTTTATCTTCTTTTATTTTTAAAATAAAAAATATAGGGGCACTTGGGTGGCTCAGTCAGTTACATGTCCAACTGCTGGTATTGGCTCAGTTCTTGATCTCAGGGTTGTGAGTTCAAGCCCTGCATCGAGCTCTGTGCCGGGCGTGAAGTCTACTTATAAAATAAATAAAATAAAATAAAATAAATAAAATAAAATAAAATAAAATTTATATAGATTTTTTTTCCTCCCCAGAGAAAAATACATTTTGAAAATAAAAGAAAATGTGGTAAAACAAATAATCACTTTAATCCTCTGATTCTGGGAGTATCATTAAATGCATCTGTCTCAAATGGTGCACTTGGGGTAATTTGTGTGTACTCAGAATCCCAGAAAGAATGCAAAAATTCCTTTATTTTGAATGTTTAAAATGAACACCACTGGGGACTCCTGGGTGGCTCAGTCGGTTAAGCGTCCGACTTCGGCTCAGGTCATGATCTCACGGTTCGTGGGTTCGAGCCCCGTGTCGGGCTCTGTGCTGACAGCTCAGAGCCTGGAACCTGTTTCAGATTCTGTGTCTCCCTCTCTCTCTGGCCCTTCCCCTGCTCACACAGTCTCTCTCTCAGGAATAAATAAAACATTAAAAAAATAAAATGAACACCACTATCATGTGTTGACATTTCTCAACTATTTTCTGGTTTGGTAAAAAGACAACTGGTCACAGAAACCCCGACGCCAAGAGCCCTGTCGCCAAGGCAAGGAGTGGAACAACTCGATGGAGCCATTTGTGCCTCTGCTTTCGGAGGGGGGCCCCGTGCTCTTCACCCACAGTGAGGATGTTTCTCTCTAAGCCTCTCCCACGGAATTTCTTTTTTTTAATGTCTATTTTTATTTATTTTGAGAGAGAAAGAGAGAGAGTGAGTGGGGGAGGGGAAGAGGAAGAAAGAGAGAATCTCAAGCAACCCCCATGCTCAGGGCACAGCCTGAGGTGGGGCTCGATCCTATGACTCCAGGATCAGGACGGAAGCCAAAATCAAGAGCCCACGCTGAACTGACGGAGCCACCCAGGTGCCCCTTGCATGTAAATCCCTCGCTGTCCTCTCATTTGAGGAGACCCTACACATCACTTTGGGAAATCATTTGATGTTTTTTCAGAGGCAAAGAAACTGCACACACAGCTTTCCTGTCTTGCCTGAAGTTGTACGAGATAATAACAGTCAAACCAGAATCCAAGGCTGGGCAGTGCCGCCCGGCCAGATGGGCTGTGCTGTGCCACTTGCCTACAATCCTGCATGGATCTCATTAACAGTAATGTTATCAACACCTAGGAATC